AACTTTCGTTATATAAGAAAAGAAAACTGAATTTTTATTCTATATTGATTTTTATATTAATATTAGGAAGTGAAAGCTAATAGCATTTTCTCATCCATCTTTCCAAGAAGAATGAAGGATATAAATAGCACAGTCGGATGTTACCAAAAACATGACATTACTTTAATAAATTTATGCGATGGTCTTTTATTAGCGACTTCAAAAAATAAAATATGTTGCCGTGCGACATTAGAGGAAATAGTTCATACCAATTATAGAAATGATTAGAGAAAACTTTTAAAAAACAAAGTGCATCTGATAAAAAATTCACTATTCTTCAATGCTACCAAAATATTACGAATAATTGCTTAAAGTAGTTTTTATATCGAATAAGATCAAATGAACTAGCTTTCAACAATAAATTTCATTTAAAAATGATGTAGAAAAGCTGATTAATTATTCCTAAAAAAAAAGTGTAATTTTTTTTCTTGTCATGTCTAGAACTTTTATTCTACATTGTTTTACTGGAAATGTGTGAAATATTTTTTGAAATATACTAATGCACAGTGTTCTGTAGAAATCGTCGAATCATACTAGAACTTGAAGAATTGAATGAATCCTGTGGTAGCAATAGTGACATTCATCAGTGCAATTGTTTTATTTTAAACAGCTGTATTGTTGAAAATTCATTTGGAATAATTCATTTTTTCTGAAAAAGCCTCTCTTCATTGAAAAAGAATGAAAGCTGGTGAAGCGAGCTACCTAGCTAATTCAACTATCTTCATATTTGCCATCTACTTTCAATAATAGTTCAATATTCAAAGACTCAAACAGTTTCAATCGATGAAAATCAGGTTTGTCACTCTGTACGAAGACTGAAACATCGATAAGGCGAGAGACGTTCCATTTAATAGTTGGGTAATGGTAGCATCTGTTTTAGTACATTGCAACAATTGATCATTAGGAGAACAATTCAAATGAGCAAAAGACGGGCTAAATGACTCGTCTTTTTTCTAGTCATGTCATCTCGTCATGCCCAGTCTTTGTCTCAAATTCGACTATGACATGACTAGTCAGGAATTTTGGTCGTCATCAAACCCCGTCTAAATCACATGTTTGACGGGCGATATTATACGTGCCTAGTCTAGTCTTTTTTTTTTGAGAAAGACTCGTGTAGGACTAGTCCGAAGTCGGTTGATGCAGGATGTTATTGTCTAATATGCAGACCAGTCCTAAACGAAGATTTTTTGAGACAAAGACTAGTCAGGACGGGACGACCTGACTTCCGTCCGAAAGCGGTTGAAAATTGAAAAAGTAAGGACGTCACGGAGGTACGTGGGATGAGTTGTACTCTTATGTAGTGGATGAGTCTAAATATAAATATTATAAGGATGAAGGTTAGATTCGAACATGCATACAAAATGTTACTCACCAATCGTTTAGGCAATTGAACCAAATGATCAAGAGATTAACTTCTACATGTTCATAATCATTCTAAAATGCTATGTAATACAATTTTTAAGTTTTTCAAGTTATCATTTTAATAAAAACTTATCTGTTAGAGAATATAAAATTATTTAGACAATGTTGAACGAAATAAATTTAAATATTTTTAATAATTTTTTCAGAAGAATTTCTTCTGATTATTATCAACTAGAAATAGTTAATTATATTGCAAAAGAATTTAAATGCCAAAAAGATTAAAAATTATTTCAAATGAAAAAAAACTAAATTTTTTAATATTATAATTTAAGTTTAAATTTAAATTGCACATTGTAAATTTAAAGCTAAACTAAATTTGTGTCGTTTAAATACATTCTTAAATTTAAATCATCAAAATTTATATTTTAAGTAAAGTAAAGTAAAATTGTGGCGCAAAATAGTTAAACTATCCTCAAATTAAATTAATTTGAATTTATTTTCCACACTTAATAAATTTTATAAACTACGTAAATTGGAACTTCTCGCTGCAAGATAAATATTATATTTTGTATTTCTACTCTTTTATGCTTCGATATACTTTTAAATTTTTTTTATAAACGAAACTATAAAAAATGATGAGTTATATTAAAATACAGATGCACAGACCATTCTTTCTATCCTTCATTTCAGTAATGGTTCTGGAGGACTTTATAATCGCCACCCTACTTAAAAAAAAATCAACGACGCAGGTGAGAGTCTACATTTGTATGAATAAAAATTGAATAATTGCCATTAATTTGTCGTAATCATAATATGAGAAATCGTACTTAACTCACAATCATGTAGTTCTTAAAACGAAGTAGCAGCATCGTTTAGTCCAAACAAAATAAATTACCTGGAATTTTTAGACTAGTGTGGACAAGAATTGACACAAAATGCTCAAAAAAATGGACTAGTCTTGATTTGCATAGATGCCACATTAGACTAGTCCTGACCACCATTGAAGACATTTCACACTAGTCAAGTTGCTCGTCTTCGGCGCGTCTCAATTCGCCTAGTAGATAGACGCACGTCAGTCTGCTAGTCAGAATGTTAAAACTGACGTCATGTCTATCGCTATGTCATGGTCTGTCGTCAGAACACCCGTCAAATATTGAATACTGTCGGGTCGAAGGTTCGAATCCACTTTTCGTCTTCTTTTTTTATTATTTTTCTGTTCTACAGACTAGACATGATGGGATTCAAAGACTTTCTGGACTAGTTCAGACGTGATTAAAGAACATTTCTCCTAAAGATGACTAGTCATGACGAGTGTGTAAGACGTTTTAGACTAGACAAGACGGGTATTACGGACATTTCAGACTAGTCTTGTCGGCCGTCTTCACTTATTTTTCGCTCATTTGGGAAGATACTGACTATTTAGGCAAAACTCCAATTCAATATAATATCATCATTGAAGGGAAATTGTTGAAGAAATATGCATCAATTTCGATGAGCAGTTTATTTTTGCCGACGGCCAGTACAAGATTGAGTTGAACAGGTAAATGATCATAGAACAAGGAAGACAAGATCTATTACCATATTAGCCATGATCATCTGCTTCTTAATCACCAAGAAATATATGGAATGTTGTAATAAATCATCATGCCACATCTGACACTATCTAATAAAGTCGTTTACGACAAAAATGTGCAAAAGACAGTTGTTTTCAGTCAAACCAGCTCAAAAACAAGGACTTGACTTGTCCATCTCTACCTTACAACTATTTCACACGATGATCGCATAGCATAACTGGAGCGTCTCCCGCATCCTACTGCTAAAGTAAGTATGTTTGATCCATTTAGTGTCAAATGAGACGCATGAACACTGGGATTCATTCGAAAAAATGAACTCTTGTAATAATCTATAGATCGTTATCGTATGTTTTAGTTTGTTGTTAGTTAAAAGAAAATATTCGTTACATCTAACATATGTTAAATGTCTTGACGCAAAGAAGCCTGAAGATACAATAGAATATGACTGAAAAGCATGAATGAAGGTCTTTGTTTTACGATAATATGATTTTCTGGAATTGCTCGATCTACTACAATTCACATAATAAGTGCTTACACTATATCGCTTGCAAATATGTCTATTATCGTTATAAATTGATCTTTCTTCGCTTTAGATTGTTGTTTACGTCATTCTTATTATTTAAACTTCATGCATATTTCTCTCCGCNGGTATAGGTCGAAAAATCAGTAAAACGACCATAACTTTTCAAGGAAGAGCTGTCAGCCCAAATCCTTTTAGGCTTTTTGCTATCTCGATACCCTCTATCAAACGACGTACGAATGAAGAGAATCGGCGTTGGACACCTCGGGAGGTTCCCTCGTCAGTACAACGATGAGGAACTATTTTGATCGATTAGATTTTGTTTTACATGACTGATTAAAGAAATATAAAGAAAACATCATGTGGTAGTTGGTCACTAACTCGAGATTTGTCATACATAAATAGACCCAAATTCTTCGAACTAGGAAGTCTCCAAGCGAAAAATTTGTACCAGCTACAGTTTGACGCAGTAAGTTAGTTTCCAAACGATGTTTCATGTCTTTTCTCAAAGCAAAAAGTGAAATACTCTTGAAAAAGCTTGTTAGCGCAGCCCGTTTCCAAGCAGATAAAAAAAAAGAAAAAACGCGTGTAAATGCTGTGAAATCTACTTTTCTGAACGTTTACACGCGTCCGAAAAAAAAGCGACTGTGTAAACACTGAGAAATCAGAATTATCGCCACTAAAAATCAAAGTTTTCTTCCATCAAATATTTACAATTGTTTAAACGCTCATTTTATCCCAAACGCATTTTAAACATAAAAAAAAAGCTGAACCTGCTGGGTGTTTTCCATAACATCTATGTTATATGAATTTAAGCTATTTTTTGTGGATGTGTTATCGCTTGAGAATTACGCAAATTGAGCGATTTTCCATCCACATATTTGTTTAATTAATCGATCCTGTGTTTCATGGATGCAATTAGGGGGTATCGAGAATATTACGACAGAGTGAAACGCCGAATATTTCTCGCATCTTTTATATAGTTAATATTCATCGTTAAAACGCCAAGTTTCAGCTATACCGAACCACTTCAATTTATGAAATTTATGATGCTTTTTTTCCATCAAATTTTCATCGTTTGAATGCCAACTTAAATAATACAGAGGTATTGCTAGACATAAAACTTTGTATATCTTTTTTTCCATAAATTTTCGTCGTTTAAATGCCAAGTTTGAATGATTTCTAGCCGTTTCAAGATATGGAATTTTTCCTGTTCACTTCTTGTCAAATTTTGATCGTTTAAACACCAAGTCTGACTGATTTCTGACCGTTTCAAGGCATTAGATTTTTCATGTCTACTTTTCGTTAAATTTACATCGTTTAAACGCTAAGTTCGATGATTTCGAAACGTTATATTTAATGAAATTCTTCACATGTGATTTTGTGGATGTGAGTGTGGGTGTCAATCAGGCTAAAGAGAATATACAATTACATGCACACACCCACACCCTCAGTAGAAATAGGTTTAATTGATGTTTGTAAATCTCTAAGTTGTTGTTCGAGATCTAAAGTGCTTTTCGTTGATTCATTAACATTGAAAATATAGTTTCAACAGATTCTGTATCAGATAATCGTGTTGAAGAATTTGATAATGAATGCTCATTTGAACAACAATATGAATCATTTAGATTTGATGATTTATCGATTTCTAATAACGCGTTATTCTTATTTTCTATTTCTAAATTTAACAAAAAACGAAATAATTTTTTAAAGGGATGTTTCTCCATTGATTAATCCGCTGATTAGGATTTAGTCTGAACTGAAAATCGATTGCATTGATCAATTCAAGAAAGGGTGGGTGTGGGGATGTGGAGGTGGGGGTGGGAGGATGAGTGTGGATGTGAGTCGTGGTTTTCTCTCCGCTGGCACCCATATCTACATCTACACCCACCCACGCCCATATCCGCCGACACCCACAGCCACACCTCGGAATTTCGTGGAACTCCTACCGGTTCCCATTTTACTCAATTCTGGAATTTTGGCTCACAATCGGGTCATCACTAGATGGGTAAGAGATGATAGAATAATATTAGAAATTGTAATTTCGGAATTAGACAGAATTGCCAGGAATTCTCACCGATGCCGGTTTCAGTCAATTTCGGAATTCCAGGAATGGATTGAATTGATTCCTATGGTGGAACTGATTCCGCAATGTTGAACATTGCGGAATAGGATGACAGATCATAAGTTATTTTAGAAAAACAATGGCAAGTTCAATAACAGATGAACAAGCATGAGAAAAGGAGTATGATAAAAAAGGACAGAAAGAAATGTCATATTGATGCTATTTGACTTGCTGTCACAGTCAGTTGCATACACTTTTGCGAGGATTTTAACATGAATTTAACTATATTTACATCACTTTGATCTTCAAATCTAAAGTGGAATCTGTTTAATTGAATATATAAATTTATCATAAAATATTACCGTAACTGATAAATTATTTTTGTTGGACTTTCAATTATATGAACTTGTTTAATTTTGAAATGTTCATTTAGATCGTTGATATCTAAAATTATCAATAATTTATTGTTTTGAGCTCAATACAAAAATAAACTTACAATTAACAATTTTTTCATTTTCAGTTGAATTACCAGCAAGTTCTACTACGTCGAGTTGTTCAAGCTAAAGGCAAAAATATATCAACTCACAAATACAAAAAAATTGGCAAAATGGTATAGTTTATTTTTCTTAAGATACAAAATTACAAGTACCAAGTGTTTTGTCGTAGATCTGTTTTCACTCCTATGGAACATAAAGTAGAATACTCTTCAGTAAGAATAACTAACTACGAATTATTAAGGCAGCAGAAAACTACCTTTTCGATAGCCATTGGACGTTTTAAAAGAATGGGATGAATACTCTAAACTCTATTTTGTTATTATTTATATATGAGCATGCGATGACCGATCGGACGACATGTTTCATTGTTTAATCAATATTTTTTATTGGTTAAATAGCGACTCATCGGCCAAGAATAAATGAATCGTCACTTTCGTTCTCTTGTATTGCTTCTCATCCAAAAGAAAAATTATTGGTCGGATTAAGCCTATGTTACAGAAATGACACTCATATCCATTTTTTTCTTTTTTTCAACATTTTCGCAGCTACTCTTCATACCTCAACACATATGATGGATGTGAATTTCTCACAATGTGCTATGCACAAATTGATGCATATCTCTTGCCAAAATTTTCAATGAAGTGTTATACTTTATCATCTTTATTCTGTCTACATCTATTTCATCAGTCACATGTACTCAATCGCCTTAAGAGTACTCCCCCCTCTTCCTCTTTTTTGACCAAAAAACCGATTTCGAGCTGGGCATAAGATATGATAACCCCATGTGTCATGAGCAATTAGAGACATCCTTTGATCCTAAATAGCTTACTATTACAAAGTTAAGGAACTTAAAAAATTTATTTTTCATAGGAATTCTAGCGAAAGCTTTTTCTTTTACTTAGCGTAACGCAAAATACGAGTTTTCTCAATCGGGCCTGCTTACAATCTCCCCCCAACTTTGTCCGAGCAGACTACAATATTTACCACAGATCCTTGAAAGTATTTTCTGGAGGCAGAATCAACCGTTTTCGTTTTTGACCTTCTGATTCGGATTTATAGGGCCCTGAAAGCTAGTACCCCTGTTTGGGATCTGAACCCTTTTCGTATTGCTCTCATAAAAAACAAGGAAAGCAAGATTTTTGAAAAAGCTAAAAACTACCTCTGAGATATAGTCTAAGGTATCTCCAAAACAATTTCCAGTCCGATCGGGCCAAGTTAGGCGGGGATCGTAAGCGGGTCAGATTTGGTCCTATGAAAGCCAAGGGGGAAACGGCGGATTTTTGGGATTGCCAATCCATGAAAAATCCCAAAAAAATCCAGAAAATCCCAAAAATCCCAAAAAAGTCCAGAAAATCCCAAAAATCCCAAAAAAATCCCAAAATCCACCAGCAATGTCATCTGGTAGATGAAGGAATTCCGAGCTGAAATTTTTATCATATGTAGGTCTTGTGGTTCTTAAAATATCCTGATAGTTTCAATGTAAACGAATGTTTCCTTCTTAAGATAATCAACTTTCAAGAAATATGGATTTTCTGACCGTGCTGCGAAATATGAGTATTTCTTGCGATCGCATTATCTTCAGGAGAAAACATCCGTTTGCGCTGAAACTTTTAGAATATTCTAAGAACCACAAGACCTACATATGATAAAAATTTCAGCTCGAAATTCCTTCATTTTCAAGAGGACATTGCTGGTGGATTTTGAGGATTTTCAAAATCCGAAAATCCAAAAGAAATCCAAAAAATCCAAAGAAAATCCAAAAATCCGAAATCTGCCGTTTCCCCCTTGATGAAAACCCATGGTTCTTTCGAAGAAATCACGAAAAACCTTGTTTAAAATATTTTTCCTCAAACGCGTGTATCCTTATTTTAGGTGCTCTCTTTGTAGTAAAAATTTCAGGGAGATCAGTTGTACCTTCTTCAAAAACTAGAAATGATCAAAAAAGAGGGGCTGGGTACTCTTAATAAAGAATACCTGTTACATGGAATACAGCATATAAAAAATAAGATTATTCGACAACGTATTTATCAAAAGGACTTAGGGGTAACAAATTTCTTAAAACAAGTCTAACAATGATTTAGAAATTCAATTAATTGCAAATATGTTCCTGGTAATACAGTACTGGCCAAAAGCATCGCCCCATCGGATTTCAACTATTATAAGAGCTGTGGATCTGAAAATTTGCATGCGCATAGTTCTCAATGAATGTAGGTGAGCGATACAACCCTCACCCCAGTTGCATTAAGTATAAGTGGGTGTGGATGTGGGTGTGGAAGAATAGAAGATCCACACCCACACCCTGGTAACTTTATTTTAGTTGATTATATTTTTCATGAAAATTAAGCAGAATAGAATATTTCGAAATATGTATACAATTAGAAATAAATAAATAAACAAATTTTATAATCTACTCAAAATGATTATTAGTCTCTAAATAATTGGATGTTAAACGTCTTCTTTGTAAATGTTCAAAATTTTGATTAATAATAACTGCTGAACTAGATGCAGTTCGTGAACGAACTAAATTATATTCAGAAGATGATGATGATTAACTTGTTTTTGTTTGATATGCGTGTTTTGAAGAGGATTTTATTTTGTTATTTGAAGCTCGTTCGTCATTCATTATAAGTGATTGTTCATTTTCACTTAATTGTTTATAAAGTTGTTCTGGACGATCAACTTCTATTTGTACTTTTCTTTGTAAACGTAAATTTTTATTTTTAACATTTTGTTTATTTAAAATAAGTTCTTCAATCTTTTTTTTATGCATCTCCTGTTGCATTGTTAATTCTCGACGAAGTTTTCCAACTTCTGGTCGTAATCATTGAGCATTATCATTTTTCATAATTGATTATCATTTATTGAATTCGATTCAAATAATGGATTAGAAGGAATATTTAATCTTTCATTACTAGTTATATTCATTAACAATTGTTGGATCACTATTCTAAAATAGAATTCACTTTTTTTAAAATGTTTTTTTAAATTAAATTGATTATTTTCACTTTTATTTTAGATTTCATCTATTCAAAAACAAATTAAAATGAGTGACTTATGATCTATTTGGAAAAATTTCGATGAATTATTTGGATTCTTTCGTTCTGATCATGCGATTAGAAAGCGATTCCGATCCGTCTACAAAGTTTTCATTACGATATTTTATGAAAACTCACCGTACTGTAATCAATCTGATGAAAACTCTAATTTTTTTATATATGAGATAGTCCTAGTGCATGTTACTTACGGTTGAAAAACTCATTTTCTTATGTATGAAACTTTTATTGTATTCTATTGAATTTTCGAAACGTTTACATCGCAGCTATATGATTTGCTTTTAGAAATATAGGTGCTTTTCGTTAATTCCGTTATGTATGATTGATAATAAGCACATCAATTTCTAACCAAAGATTTATACTTCACATTCGATCAAAACTATTCTGATGAAGAATACACAGTATTTTCTCACTTTTTTTAGTTATCATGGAAACTAATTTATGTTAGACACATTTACAGGAAGTAATATATTCTAGTCAATATGTTTCTCACCTCGCTAATAACAGATAATTTAATTGTTAAATAATGACTTACCTATCATCGAGATCAAACTAAATCCATTGATTATATTATCTTTTATCGAATTGCTGTATCTTTCCTACTGTTATAATTAATTATCATGTGAAAAACTCGCTCTTCTTGTGAGTGATCATATGATTTTTGAATAATTCGTAAGATACTAATGTGAAATTATTTCTCATTTTTCGAAGTATGGTGTGTTTACCATGGATTGTTTTATTTAGATGAGAAAATGTTATTTTATATGATGATTATCGACAAAATAAAAATCTCAAGGAGTTTAATTGCGAGAAGAAACTCATGCATAACCGTGATATCAACATTTTTATTTTCCTTGAAATCGATTCTGGAAGCACATGGAGTAACACTTTTAAAACTCTGGCTTCGAAAAAACAATTAGCTGAATTTCATATACTAGTTAATAGTTTTTGATAAAAATGTTGTTGAAGTTTGATGATGAATATAGAACTCATTCAAAATATTTAAGATGAAGTCGTATTTCTTTGAAGAGTGCAGTATATATTCAGAAAATTCTAAAAGATTTTCTATCAAACTGATAAAGAAAAATGATTTCTCCAATTAATGTTTTCATTGTTAGTGTGAGTTTTTCACAATAGATCAGAAAATCTGCTCCCATACGCACGTGTTATTGCATCATCATTCGTTATTCAATAAATCTTGAAATTCATGAATAAATAGGTTATATCAAAGGAGTTAAAAAATTTATCTTTTGTTAGTTTTCGTCAATTTTGAATCGAAAAAGTCTGATTTCATCTCTCTCCCTTATTGACTAGTGTAGAAAAAAAATGTAAAGTAAAAGCTGAAAAACTTGAAGAACATTATGTCTAGAAATTTGATCAATAGCGAAATCAACTTCTACATCCAGATATCAATAGAGATACATCCTCGTTACTCGATTACGCTTTCCTTGTAACATTTTCATACGATTTTTAGGTGAAACAGATATTTGACTTGATCAAACATTATATTCATAAAAATTTGTTGATAACGATAATGCTATCAACAGTGACAGGTATTGAATTTTGCCTGATTAAAATTTCAAATTTGTTAAATCTGATTAAATAACGAAAAGTGCTTAACTTTATCAATATAAATACTAATGATTAAATGCATGCTCGATTTGTTGGTCATTGTTCTCCCTATGATTGGAACAAACGAAATATTGCATCAACAAACTAGGAGATTTAAAATATAGGCTTTACTAGGCAAACACCAAACGAGGCATTTAACTTTCGAGTTATCTACAATATATATGTTTAGTCCCTTGAATTCAAACGTTTTAGTAGCGCTTTTTTGTCTTTTAGCAGATATTTGCGTAGAATTCATCGAACTGCGCAAAAGAAACTGTTACAAATGAAAAAATACAATTGATTTCACAAACATTAGAATTTGAGATGTATTCTTTAGCCATGGTATTCTGCAGGCCTCTGTCTATAAATTAGAATTTCATCTGAATATTATTTATACAAGAGCTTTCATTGCACTCACTTTTCAACCGAATCTTGAAAGATCTCTTATAGCAAAAGAAAAGAAATATCTCATGTATAAGTTATAAATCAAATAAGACTGCATTACAAGTGTAACAGGAAAGTAGAAAAAAATATTCATCTGATTTATAGATGATAATTGGTAGAATGCTTCTCTTTAATTGCTGCTTTGACAGTAAGATCTGAAACAGTTGTAAACAATACATGAATTATAATCTAAGTATGACAGTTTTATGAAAGTCTTAGATGAGTATTAATTTACAATAGAAATCAATTTTCTTTTCTGCCTTTCTTCACTGTACTTCTTGCGTGTCACCAAAAATTTCATTTATATTTGATCTCCAAGTAGACATCTACACATTAATGAATATGTATGACATACAATGAAAAACGTTTTAAAACTCTAAAACAAAAAGAGAATGAAATATTTTAGATACGGAATCAAAGATAGGAAAGAAAAAAGTATTGCAGGTGACGGGCTAAGCTGCCAAGTATATTTAGAGAATTGTAATTCAATCACTGATAGTCCTAATATCCTGGTTCATTATCTTGATGTTTCTCTTTGTGATAGATGAAACTCTTGGCACAATAGAAGTGTCAATACAACTAGTGTCGTAATAACTCCAGTTACAGTTCTAGCACTAATAATAACCGGAGCTACTATCTCTATTATGACTTGTTAACAAGGTGTGAATGTAATTACTTGAGAAAAAAGCGTTGCAAAAAATAGTGAATGTTTGTCTTCCAATGATAGTCGCTTGTCAGAAACAAAAGAAAGAAGGAAATGCTCAGCATAGTTGCTTTTTTTTGTTTTTGTTTTTGTTTACTATTTTTGCATATATTTGAAGTACGTATTTCTGTAGACATTAGTTCTTTTTTCAAGCACAAGAGAGACAACAAGTCAGAAACCTTTCAAATGTGTGAATAGAGTTTCCTAAATATATGCGTCTACTAACAATCATCCATAAGCTAACATGAATACTGCGCGTATTTGTCGAAATAGAATGTGAAAGAAGTGTCGAAGTATATAGGATAAGAATTCATTCCCTATCCCTTCTTCAGACCGTGATGAGCACTAGTCTGAGACCATTAGAGACCATATATTCTATAATAGCTCCATCGAATATTTAAACTACTTCCTGTATTGCATTTGTGAAGGATTAAATGAAAATATGTTGAATATATGTATTCCAAAACACTTACAACTAAACAATCTCACGTCAAAGACAACAGCAGCTACATAGTATTTTAAATTTGAATACTGGAAGATGTTGCATTAAAAATTTTTGTAACAATCAGAATAATCATATTCTTTCTTATTTTTATTCTATTTATCTGATTCAAGTCAAGAGAAATTCATATGTATTTTCATGTGTTGTACTTTTGGTGATCGTAGAAAAACTTATCAGTCAATATTTGATATTCTAACTGGAAAAATTCGAAATTTCTTTCAAAGTAGAGTTATTTCTTAAAGATGGAAAATTATGTTCAATGAACTGATGACTTCATGTCAATAAACTGAGGCTTTTCGAACCATTCTATAAGGGTTTATAACAGTAAACATAGATCTTGCCAGATAATTGTTTTGATGACATCTACAATCATCGTACACGAAAAGAGTTCTATGAGCTTTGTTATATTGTATTAACGTAATCATCATAAGGACTATTCGCCGACAAACAAGAGGTGAATGTAAGTTCGAAGTCGAAGCTTTCGCGTGCCTCCAATCTCATTACAGACCGAAGCAAGCCCACTCCCTCAAAACAAATCAGAAAAAAATTCTGTTCGAAATTTTCCTAACAATAAGAGAGATATTTTCTATAACTAGAAGTCTCATTTTATATAGAACGTCGTTCTTAGCTTTTGCTTTTCAAAGAGACAATCAATAGCACACAACGTCATCAAAGATGGGATGATAGCCATATTATCATGGTATGTTTCGGTTTTATCGAGTAAAGTTTCAAAACTTACACTTAGACACATGAAATAAACTCTTACCTAACCTCTTTATTCTAGTCTGAATAGAAAATTTTCTATTTTAACTTAGACAAATTTTGGGACATGTGGCTCCCTACAGCGTATTTACATACTATTGGTTCGATGAGTCACACAGCTATGAGTATATACTATCAATTTTTAGATTCACATTAAAGTCTTCTTTTCGATTGTATACACTAAGTGTACTTTTTATTTGCTGAAGGGTAACTGCTAGCCTATGAAATTTTTGTGTGTTATCTCAATTCTTATGCATGTGTCAATCACAAGGCCATGGTTGTGCTCGACTAGCTATTCGATTGGACAAAGAAGTAAAAGAAAAAACTTTTTTTTTTCTTTTTTCTTTTTTCTTTTGTTCTCTCATCTCATAACGAAGACAAAAGTGTGAATATAGCAACGTCGAGTGTGACATTGATTTCATCAAGTAACATACGTTAAGCAGCTCCACATTCGTTTATTTTCCTGTACCCAATGATGACAGATAGAAGAAGAGCAGAGAATGCAATATCTGCCATTCCTAAGGAATGTCTTATATGTGGTGATGTTGCACGTGGTCTAAATTTCAATGTTCTTACCTGTCTGTCGTGTAAAACTTTTTTTCGCAGACATGCATACGAAAAACCGGTAAGGTTTACTTTATATTAAAAAGATACAAGTCTTTTATCGATATATTGCATAGCTCATGGACCGTTGCGAATTTGAAAATGATTGCAATATAACAAAAAGAACACGTAGTTACTGTTCACCTTGTCGTCTGAAGAAATGCTTCACTTTAGGAATGATTCCTGAATTAATTCGACGTATTCCTGATTCTAGAACTGTTTCCAAGAAAATCAAACGAGTGGACAAAATAGATGCCCAAAGGAGTATATCTTCCACTGTAATAGTATTTCTTTTTATATTGTTTTTCAAATTTGCAATAATGTTTCTTTTTTGTATAGCCTTTATCACTAAGCCTTCTTCGAAATGATCACTCAAAATTGGCAAGCAATGAATGGACATTGCTTTCGAATTGTCTTCATACATTTGATGAGCGAAATGCTCCTATAAGAATTCAGTATTGTATTAATGAATTTTCTTCATTACCACCAAAATTACGTATGAAACCATCGGAAGTCGCAAATCTTATTCGTGCACTGTATTCAGGTGTGGGAGCAATGGTCGAACAGTCACCAGACTTCTATTCTTTATCAGGTGATACTCGTCAAATTCTCACTAAACATAATTTGTACATCAGTGGCGTGATGAATTCTTTTTTTCTATCTCGTGAACTGAATATATTTGATAATTTGTCTGTTCTCAATGTGTGCAATCACATGTATGGGTCTGAATATGTACTGAAACTCCGTGGAAATGTTGCACGATATGATTCAAATGGAAGTCTTATTAAAATTTTGATATTCATATTAACGTTTTCAAGTAATATCTCGATTGTTCAATATGACAATGAAGAACATATTTCAATTATGTCAAACTCAATCAATCTTGTTCGTATTCAGAATATATATGTTACAATGTTATGGAAATATTTAGTTTATCTCTATGGTTTTAATGAAGCAGTACTTCGATTTACTTCGCTTGTAAAGAATGTTTTAGATCTACTTAGCTTCTTAAACTCGGTTCCTGAGGATGAAGCTCGTCAACGTATGATGAATAAAATTGTAACAGAAACTGAACGTACATTGGTGATTACTGACTGACTGAATCAAGTTTTCATTCATTTTTCTGAATGGCAACATATGGCGTTTGATGTTTAATGGTTTTCGTCTTTATGAATAATGTTACTCACACAAAAGACATATGTCGACGAATATCAATTTGGTATCATCGTCTATATTTTTATGGGTGGTATATTGTTAAACTGAAAACTTAAAATAATCGTGCATAAATAGTAGAAGAAAAATCAATAGTAAATGTGGCATCATATTTGATCGGAAAAAGGAAGATGCATTTCTTGTTGCTAGAAATAAAACCTTGAATAAAAAAATTAATACAAAAAAGTACATATTTAAATATGCTTGAAGTTTGCAAAAATATACATCATACTTCATGATAAGATTTCAAGTAAATAGCGCAAATCAAGTCAGAATTTCCCAACTGACTTCTACGTAATACATTTTAATTCAGTTCCTTGCTAAAAGCTGTGTTCAATTATCCTTGATAGTTTTGACAAATTCATCACTAAACTACAGCTTACAATATTATCTTCATGAAATTTGCTATCAAAGAGAGGTTTGGGGTGGGTGCGGGTGCAGGTATGGACGCGGGCAGTGGATATGAGTGTCAGTACTTGTTCATCTACGCCCACACCCTATTTTTTACTGTGAAAATAGTGCAAGGTAGTTTCGTGAGTAGTCAACTAAAAAATCACAAGGTATTCAGAAAATTTGTTTTCGTAGCAACCTTCGTAGAGCTTCTATCGTTGATCTTTTTGGTAAAAGAAATTTCGAACTTCATTGAGAAATGACGATGTTGTAGACAAAATATTAAAAGCTGTAAGATGTAAGTAAAAGTCGATTCACATATCTCAAAAAGACAATATTCTGGAGAAATGTGACGTCGTAGGTTTTGTAAAGAAAACTTTGCTCTACAAAACCCTATAGTCGGTTTCTTGGATACAGGCGAATAGGATGAATAAATCTCGATTAAACATTGTATACGATATTTCTATTAAAAAAATCTGACATCTTCTGTTTTTAAGATAAATATTTTGACTATAACATTGTCATTTCTCAATGAATTTCGGAAAGTCATTTTACCAAAACGATCAGCGAAGAAAGTTCTACAAAGCTGGATACGAAAAAAAATTTTCTGAATACCTTGTGATGTTTGGATTGACTACTCACGGAACTACTTTGCAATATTTAGTAGGAAAATTTATGTATTTCAATCTTGTCAATGCATTTCGTTACTAGCCTTAGCTAGGAAGCTGAAACTTTCAAAAATGGAAGATGATGATTAAATGTATATGTGATAAAAATTTCAGCTATCTAGGTCAACAAAAACTATTTAAAAAAGATCAAAAGCAATTAATCGTCAGTTATTATGGAACATCTTTTATAGGGTACGGTGCTCTGAATATAGTTGCAATAACTTTGGATATGTTTCATAGAAAATCATTGACAACATGCCATAAATATTTAAAATGTTCATTTTTATTTCTATCTTTATAAAATAAAAAACTAACTAATCGCCAATAAATCAGTCTCACGCGCATCCATTCCATTAGTGTTTCGATTTCCACTGGTTTCTGTTACGCTGAATAAATTCGTTCACCTGTTTCTCAAGATCTTTTCCGATTTGATTGCTGAAGAGATTTAGTGTTGTCATTGTCTATGTCAAAAAGTGGAGATAAAGATATGACCAGCATGGATAGAGAAAGAGATTCACCGTGTTATTTCGTAATGCATCCGCTATATACTGTGCTCCTTTGTCTTCAATTCGATTGCTTTCAAGACCAAGGTTGGACAGTGTCTGTGTGAAAAAGTAGAGATGATGATATGAGGTAGATGAAGAGAGNATTTGATTGCTGAAGAGATTTAGTGTTGTCATTGTCTATGTCAAAAAGTGGAGATAAAGATATGACCAGCATGGATAGAGAAAGAGATTCACCGTGTTATTTCGTAATGCATCCGCTATATGCTGTGCTCCTTTGTCTTCAATTCGATTGCTTTCAAGACCAAGATTGGACTGTGTCTGTGTGAAAAAGTAGAGATGGTGATATGAGGTAGATGAAGAGAGAAAGAGAGCCATCGTGCGGTATTCTCTTTTCAATTTTCTCTGTATATTGGCGATTTGTGTCAGAAATCTTTTATATTGCTCAGCAGTGGGCAAAAGTTTAATCGGTAGAAAAAATGATCATTTTCAGCGAAAAAACCCCGTTCGCGTCAAAAATGCGATTTTATAAATCAGTCGAAATATCACACTTCTACACAATCAAGACACCTGATCATCATGAATATATATACATATACATATCAGCATATATTCACTTTAGGAAAATGAAAAACCAGCGGAAAAATGCTTTAGCACGGAGAAAAAATGAATTCGTATGGAGGAACAATGATCAGACAGAAAGAATGAGTATACCCATTCAAATAGTGCCGAGAACTTACTATTCAACTATGACTTGTATAAACGTCTGGATTGTGAGATTGGCTGTATCTCACAGAAGGCAGTATGACTTAAATGTGTATTTTAATCATTCTTTTTGATTAGAAACGATGAGCTATGATGGTAGTGAATATTGATTGATTGTAGGAATAAATGCATCTCGCTTTATAATTGCTAAATGAAAGTCCTTTTTTTCATCATGCCAACAAGTCTGTCTTATAAGAACTTTAATTATCGTATCTTCTCAGAAGAGATAATTTTAATTTAACGTTATTGTATTAAAATACTTCTCCATAAGTGTTTAATTGTTCATAGCTATTTAATTCCGTTCTATATTTGAACTGAAGCGCTAATTTAAAAAATATCTTAGGTTTAAAAAAAAATCCCATAGCTATTGAAAAATGTTTCCAGGCTTGAAATCATTTTACTGGCTGATTCGTTTCTAAAAGAATTTCGCACTTTTTTCTTTTTGTTGTGTGCCTGACTATTTGAAATAATAATATTTTCTTTTTTTTCTCAACGGTTCTAAAATCTTTTGACTAACTAAAATAATTTTTATACTGCTCACTATCAATCCTTTTCAATATCAGCAATATTACTAAACCTAATATTGCGACAATCGAACCAGTGATGTGAATCATTGATAGTTATACTCAGTTTTACCCGTCTCTTCTATAGTCCGCTTTCGCGAAACAATTAGTTAGTTAAAATAAATTGCAGACACGTATGCAAGTGGCTACAAGAATTCATCGACTAGCGCTTGAACATTTTCAAATGGTGTTGCAGTTTGAATAGTTACTGCTAAAAATATATTCGACTTGAATAAATACCTGACTAGTATTGAAACAGCTATTGAAAAATTACATATATACGGTTGCTTTGACGAGCTGTCTATATGCTCCGAGACTTCCATTTTTTCCATCTGGAAATCGGTATGTCCATCTGAAAGTTGTAATCACTCTCCCGAACTAATGAATATTTTTCAAGAACATGGTGAGAGCCAGTTCAGAAGCTGAGTTTTGAGTGTTCCTTCCCGGTCCATTACAACTGCGGGTGTGACAAGTGAGGGAAAAAATACTTGCTACCTTTCTTTTGTAACACGAAGGAGGGTAGCAGACAGAAGTTGACAGTTAGTAGGTGTTCTTCTCTTGAGAGAAGTGAAGAGGACAGCCTAACCCCATAGCAATCCCTTCTAGAGGTGTTACTTTGTCTTTAATTTATAAAACAGACATAAACAAATTCTTTATTTTCAAAAATAAAGAGAAAATAAAGAATAAAGAAAGATTTTTTTTATAGTAAGTAAATAGACAAATGACTAGCATAACAACAGAATATGTTAATCAATATTCTTTCTTATCACCAACATCACTTCGACATATGAATAATTAAAACAAGCAATCTAATAGATAAGAAATATACTCAAAAAACTGTTCTGTCTATTTCATTTCCATCTATAATATCGTAACTTTTTGTCAATTGCTTGATAAAAATAAAAGATCAGGTTCTCATAGAGAAAAAAAAAGAATTCTTTATTACTTATTTTACCTTTATTTTATAACGACAGATAACAACAAACCTTGATCCTTATTTTAGACATATAAAGATTAAATTTATCTTTTTTTTTCAATATACGCATTTTATTTTTTTTATTTGTATTCATTTCTCAAATAAAAAGCATTTCTTTATCTTTATCTTATAAAGCAGAGGATTTTATTTATATCTATTCTTTATTATAATAAGATAATAATCAAAATAAAGTAACACCTCTAATCTTTTCGCATATCTAACTATCGTTCGTATTATGCTTTCTAAATGCACCTTCTTTCATATTTCAATCCATTTTTTCCGATAAAAACTACTATTATTACTATGGATCATTTTTTCTTCGCCGATAGAGTATCGATATAACTCATTAATTGTTGACGAAAGGTTTTTTCTAATAGATTACATCATCTCTTCATTTTTCAAATCCAATTTCCCTATAGAAAATGTAATTATTCCTATCGAATTTTACTTTTCCGCTGCTAAAGTAAGTATATGCATCACATCGTTCTTACAGACTACGTGTCGAACATTCTTGTTTAAACGACTTATTTGCTAGATCCCGGACAGACATTTGGATTCTTGTTATCCATATAACTAATGATTTGTGTAAGGACTTTTCTCATAGCAAAAATTATTTATACATTTCACGATACCATTTTTCCTATCGGAAATAACATTATTTCTATTTTTTTTTCATTTTTTCGCCGATCGTTCGATTCGGTTTGTATAATGTATTATATGCTGTTCATTAGTTGAGGTGTCATGTACTGAAGAGAGTCATTTTTGACCTGAAAGTCATAACTCCGCTTAAAATCTTCACTTTTGTCACCGATCGCAAAATTGTCCAATCCTCATTTAC